AAGGGCGGTCTCATCTGATTTGACTCACCCCTATACTAAGAACCTGAGGCCCTGAAATTCTGAGCAGACCCTGAATATGTGGAACGATCAAATCTCTTATCGCCAAACTGAGGGGGCGCACTAGCCGATGGCTGGGATGGATACCTCGGGTACTGCTGCCTCTAACCACCTTAAAACACACCAGAAGGACCTGAAGACCTCGCTCTCTTATTTTGGGCCCTATCATGATCATGATCGGCCCTCTGTTTCTGGCTGAAGTGAGACCGACATACAATCATTAAGCAAGTGAGGCTCTAATCCCATCACGAACCGGTGCACCCGATCCTCCGTCTTAGATACAATAGTCGGAGCATACCTAGCCAACGAATCAAACTGAAGGCTATACTCCCAAACACTCATATTACCCCGCCGAAGGGTCAAGAACCTATCAACTCTGGCCTGTCTAAGCTCTGGTGGCAGATAATGACAAAGAAAAGCCTCTATAAACTCCTGCCATACCGCTGGAGGGGCATCCTCACCTTTGGACAATTCCCAAGACTTGTACCAATTAACTGCAGCATCTCGGAGTTTATAGGAAGTTAGCTCAACTGACTCAGTTGTAGTGTCCTTCATTATCCGTAACGTCCTCTACACTCTATCAATAAATACCCGTGGGTCCTCGTTTGGATCTGCCCCAGTGAATACTGGAGGTCTAAATTAATGAAGTCACGAACCCTCGCACTGACGGACCTATCTGCATGACCAATACCTATTTCTTGACGCCGAGCCTGCGTGGCTACTAATCGGGTTAATATTTGAATATCATCTCTCATCTCCTGACCCAGTGTATCAAGCTGAGGTGCTGAATGTATAGGGGCGGGTGCTGGAGCTGGTGCTCCTCGGAGCTCTTCTGGAAAGGGCGGGGTATGTGAAGTCTGAGATGGAACCTCACTATGAGACTCTCCCTGAGCCCTGTTAACTCGTGGCGCTCGATTAGTAGTCTCACCAGCCACAGACTTTCCCTTATGGGCGACTGTAGTCTTTGGAGGCATCGCTGAAAATATAACATGTCGTTAGGAACATGAATCCTTATATTACACGATCTAAGATAAGAAGAGAGGATAACATCCTATATGTCATGTAGCCTCCTGTCTATAAGTGTGGTGTACAACACACCCATAAACAAGACTCTACTAGACACGGTCTGTAGACAACCCTAGGACAGAACTGCTCTGATACTACTTTTGTCACGATCTAAACCAATGGACTACGACGGGTGCCCGAGTCCTACCTGTCAAACACCCCAAGCATGCGTCTAAGATATAAACCTGAATAACATCTGATTAATTACGATAATAATATACATGAAGGAAACCTGCCCAAAAATGCATACATACATATACGTGCAACATACGTAGGGCGAGCCGACAAGGCTACTATAGACAACTATATACCTCAAACTGGAAGCCGACAACGACACATACAACCCAACTAGACATACTGTCTACAAACCTCTAATAGAAATATAATTGTACAAAGACGGGACTGAGCCACGCCATACCCATATATATATACACAAACATATCGTACCAAATCAAAAGCAACTCCGGATCAAGTGGAGCATGCCAACTCTCGCTGATCAAGGATCCTAAGAAGGGGAACCGTCAGCTTGCCTACCTGCACCTGCGGGCATGAAACACAGCCCCTGTGAAATAGGGGGTCAATACAAAAAATGTACTGAGTATGTAAGGTATGAAAATCAGTACGTAGAAGACATAGATGAAACATGGAATAAGGAAATCCATTTGTAAATTTGAATAACTTTGTGAATTCTGAAACATTTATAATGTTATGCACGTGCATATAAATATCGTGCCATGCATAGATATGAGTGTACATAATATTATCAAGCCACTGAGGGCATCCCATCATATCGTTTCGGCCACTGTGTGCAACCCAACTGATCAGGTGGTGGTGTGTATATAACGCTGTAACCTTTTTTCCATATCTCATATACATATAAATACGCGTATATAACGTCGTCTGGTCATGGGTCAATGTACATGCATGAAAATATGTTAAAATATCTCAATATTCTGTTCGAATAAACTTTATCAACTGCGTATTATTTTGAGACCCATGAACAAAAGATATAACAATATGTCACATGGGGAATCAAGAACAAAGACACCCCTAGTATTTCTATGAATAGAGTCATTTATAAAAAATGTGCGTTCGCTCGTTTCTTCTGTATAACTTGGACCATGCCAAAAAGGAAAGAAGGGATGACCTTAACATACCTCGAGTAGGGAAAACTCCGTATAATATTTCGTTGGAAACCTTCGTGAATTGAACTTAGAACCCCAAAAATTTGGTTGAATTTTGTTTCTGTTCTTGAAGTCTTGAACTGATTAAGCTTTTGTTTTTTGAAATTTTTGAACGAAATTAGCTTATGCTTCTTTGAAGCTTTTTGGAACAAATTAAGTTTCTTATCCTTGAAAACTTTGGACTAGGAAAAACTGGAGGAGTATATCTCTTGGTTTGGATTTTCACGTTTTTTGTTCTATTTTTGTCCAAATGAATGGAACAAGACCATTGTTTTTATTCAATTCCAATAACTCCTAGATAGCCACCTAGGACTATGTGACTACTTAGTCATTTCTAGATTTGTGGCTTTTTTTCACGTTTTAGGCATGCAATTTATTAATTTTTATCCACTTATTAATTAACTGGGTAATGTCACGTTACCCGGTAATTAACTAATTACCCGTATAATTAAGAATTATCTCAAATTATCTAAAAATACTATTCATTTTTAATATACTTTATACATCATATTATCATGGCCATATGGTACCTTGTGTGGTACTAGTCCATAATTATCGGGTATTATTTCTCGACCCATATTTTATCCCAAATTGGCCACTTTCAACGAAACTTGTTTTCTTTAATTCGTGTACCCTTTTTCCTTCATGACACTTATTTCTCGCTTGTTATAATTAGCATAAATACATTAACCTCAAGATAATCTTACCCCCTCAGTCTGCGTCAATTAACTGTAGACGAAACTTTTAACGTACGAAAACGCGAGATGATTTATGTACTGATGACATGTATAAATCAGAGTTTACTGATAAGTAGATTTGAGATAGCTAACTGTGCTTGATTAGCTATGGCTTTGTACAGTTTCAAAGGTGATTTATACAAAAATTTAGTTACCAAAAGAAAAACAATATAGTGGAAAAAAATGTTTTACATTATTAGTAATATAATATCTATAGGACATATAAGGTTGATGTTCTTGCCAAGCCAGATATCTCAATGGCTCAAAATTCAGAGTTAGATTGCTCAAATACCTGAGTTAGGATTACCACCTCTAACACAGGTATTTTTAAATTCCAACAGGTCACTTTTTAGTGGGCATTTGGACATAAGAACGGTAAAATTTCAAAAAATAAAAATAAAAAATAAAAAAAAATTCAAATGAAAATGGTATTTGATAATTAGAATTGTGTTAGACATAAATACAATTTGGAGCTGTTTTTAAATTTTTGTGAGTGATTTGAAGTGAAAATGGATACATGAAAACATAAGAAGTGATTTGCGCGCTCAAACAGTATTTTTGTATTAAAAATTTATTAAATATATATAAATATTAAAGTTAAAATCTTAGTTCCGCCTCTGTTCGGAGGATGCAAATGTTTTAAGAGTTGGAGGGAAGGAAGGGGATAGTTCCATCTTAACTCGTAGCTTAAACAAGTTTAGACTACCTATATCATAGTGTAGTGATTCAAAGACTATTTTTTAATTTGAAATTAATTTGAAACTAACAATAAAAGTATATAAATTAATCAATGAATATTATTCAACCAAAATAAGACAAATCATCAATAAGGTAAGCTAGATAATTCCCATTTCATTCATTAAGAGTAGATTGAAAATAATTTTAGTTGTGTTTCCTACAAATAAGTTAAAATTATCAAAACGTATAACCCTACCCTACTTTTTCTAGCCCTAGTAATTTTCCCCACCCTTTACTTCTCTAGAGCTATCGCAACATCTAATGCACCTATGCCTACTTGGCGGCATCATTGAATGAATGGAGTACTTTTCTTTCGTCCGAATTTATGTGATATTATTTGATTGGACTTAATGATGTGTTTAAGTCGAGGAGAAGTGAATGCTCAACGGTATTTTAAAAGGTGTTTTCGGGCGAGCCCTGAGGTTATGCGCACCAAAAATACCCTGAAGCGATGGTGGTGGTGGTGGGGAAGTCTCAAGAGGCGTGCGCCTAGCAATTTGGAGTGTACGCCCGAGCGTTGAGACGAGTTTTTGTAGGGGCATTTGCATCTATACTCGCTTTTTGGATCACATTTTAACTTGTGCCCGCTTTGCAAAAAAAAAATTGCAAGAATACTTTCTTTTTTGCGTAACTTCAGCATACGGGGCTGAAGTAGCATTTTCTGTAATTTTACCTATTTAAAAATATTTTCTGTAATTATATTATTTTATGAAATATTAAAAAAAATTAAATACTCATGGGGCTTACGTCTCGCTGAGGCATATGTAAAATATTTCACCTTATGCTCACGCCTTTTAAAACACTAATGCTTAAGAACGAAGTATTTCCTTCAATCCAACTTATGTGATGTTGTTTTATTTGGTACAAAGTTTAAAAATAAGAATAATTTTTGAAATATATAGTCTAAAACAAATTTTAGATAATTTGGTGATTCCAAATTATTTCATTAATGAAAAAAAATTTAAAACTAAATTATTTCTGAATATAAAAAAATTTGAAGTCCTTACTAGAGACAAGTATATTGTCTAACACGCTTTGATTTCATTTAAATAATTAGTTACTAGTAGAGTCCATGGTTTGGTTAAGCTATACGAGTAGATGGGAAGAAATGTAGCATAGATCTAGGCCATTAAATCTTGACCTAAACTTTCTTTATCTTAATATAAAAACAAGATATATACCAACCAAAAAAATCTAACATTTCTAAATAATAATTTGAAATTAACCTCTTAATATCCTTTCAATTCCTTCATTTTATTTGTTCTACAAAATGCCATCAACAGCAAATTCAACAGAGGATCAATGGTCAAGTGGACTTTGTGATTGCTTAGATGATCCCATCAACTGTATAGTTTTTACATTTTGTGCTTCATTATTGCAAATTCATTAGCGATCTTTACACAAATAGCCAGTTGAATTCACTATTTTTTTTCTAATCGGTATAATTGATTATATATCGATTATACACATGTTGATGCTTTTGCTCTGATTATTCTATCATCATGTCTNNGTTGTTGTTGTTGTTGTTGTTGTTGTTGTTGTTGTTGTTGTTGTTGTTGTTGTTGTTGTTGTTGTCATGTCTCCCTACCACCTTATCTTATTGATGTTACTACGCGTTATGTCTGCTTCTTTTACGTTTATCTTGAGTCGGGGGTCTATCGGAAATAACCTCTCTACCTTCACAAGGTAGGAATAAGGTCTGTGCATACTTTACCCGACTTCCAGACCCTACTTTGTGGGATTATACTGAGTTTGCTATTGTTATTGTTGTTGTTGTTATACATTTACTGATTATGTATTTATTTATTATAAGTAATTGGATGAGCAGTTATTTAGGTTAATTCCTTAATTTCGTTTTAATAAAACAATAGTATTTGCTAAAATCTTGATAATTTTCTTGATTCTTTGAAGGTGTGGCTACTTGTTTTTTCCCTTGCATCACTATGGGGGAGAATGCTGAGATTATATCAAAAGGACAAACATGTAAGCTTATAATATCTTCCTTAATTTCTTTGTTAAACTTTTTTTTTTTGTTAGTGATTTTGATGTTTTTAATCCATGGAAACTTACCATAAAGTTGAGAGCAATGTTGTGGTGCATATATACATCGTCACTGTAAAATAAAATAAAAAACATTATCAGGTCATTCAAAAAATATATATAGGTAAGTCTTCTTACAATGTGAGACTTGTTTGAAAATAAAATAAGTTATTAACAACATAAAAAGAAGACATGATAGTATAAAAAAGATTACACTGATCATAATTTAAATATCCTCAAATTTTGAAGTAGAAATAGGGTAAACATAACGTGACATGCAAGTGTTTCTCTTTTATTTTATCCTCTCGGAATCATGTTAATCTCTTTATTTTATTGTTAAAACAGTACGGGCTGGCCAGTTTTCGGACTGGTTATTCAAAAATAGTCAGCGTTTGCCAAGTCATTAAAAAATAGCTACTATTTTGCTGCAACAGAGACCGATCCAGCATAATATACTGGAATTCGGTGCACCTGTGTATGAACTTCCAACATATTATGCTGGACCGATATACTTTGCTGGCTCCAGTATATTATACTGGAGTTCCAACAAAGTATAATGGAACTTCAAACTTCAGTATATTATGCTGTAATTCCAGTATTATGCTGGAGTATTTTCCGGATTTTGAACAATGTTTTCTTTCAGATTTATCTTTACCTGAAAGGTGGCTAAATTTCGATAACTTTTGAAACTGTGACTATTGTTGAATGACCACTTGTAAATCTGACTATTTTTGAATTTCTCCCTATTTTATTATGTCATTCTTTTTGGGATCTTTCAGTAAAGAATCGGTTGGATTCACTGTTTAATTTATTTTCTAGTTAATATATATAAATTATACATTATTATATCTAAGTATATCATATTGTACATAAATTATATATTTATTATACATCCATCGGCATTTTTAGTTTAAGCGATAGAATGATCGTCTATTTTGATTAATTCTTCTTTTATTTTTTCAGCTTGTATAGCAGCAACCACAATCTACTATTTGCTGTGCTCAATAGGGTGTCAACCTGGTTATGGATTTCTATACAGATCGAGACTACGAAAACTGTTAGGTTTGCCAAAGGAAACATGTAAAGATAACATTGTACATACCTGCTGCTGTTTTTGTGCACTTTGTCAAGAACATAGAGAACTCAAACTCCATGGAGCTGATCCTGCCATTGGTAATAATTACCTTACGAATGACTTGACTGTGTAAATATTTTTATACCGTCAGTACATAAAATTTAATGAAGGTGAGCTTTGGCGTAACTGATAAAGTTGTTGCCATGTGATCAGGAGGTCACGAGTTCGAGCCGTAGAAACAGTCTCTTGCAGAAATGTAGGGTAACGCTGCGTACAATAGACCCTTGTGGTACGACTCTTCCCCGGACCTCGCACATGGCGGAAGCTTAGTGCACCGGACTGCCGTAGTACATAATGAAAAAAAAGAAGAAAAGAAACCAAATAAGGATTAAACCGTCAACATTCTCTGTGTGTTATGTTAAGTATTAACACAACAACAATAGAAAGAAAGAAAGAAGGTAAGAAAGAAAGGGTAAATTTGGCCGGATAATATAATGATAAAGATAAATTTGATCGAATAATATAATAGAGGATAAATATAGACAATATTTATAGGTAGAGGAGTAAATTTAACTCTTTTCTCTAAATATAATGTCATTTAAGTGTAAATTGACGATAATTTTATCTTAAGTATGTATGTTATCTTTAAGACAACAATAATAGAAAGAACAAGAACAACAATAATATCAAACCTTGTGTAACCTCACAAGTAGGATTTGAGGACGATAATATGTATACAGGTCTTGTCCTTATCTGGTGAAGATAGAGAGGTTATTTCGATAGACATTCGGCTAAAAAAAGGAAAAAAAGGAAGCAGAAAAGATATAACAACAATATATAATGTCATTTAAGCGTAAATTTAGGACAATTTTTTGGTTTATCTTTATATTGTTTCACTTTCCAGTATTTGTGGATCAAAGACGATTGATTTTAATAGAAAATGTTTTTTGTTTTGACGATTGAGTTACAGGTTGGAAAGCAAATGTGGAGAATTGGAGAAGCCAAGCAGTCACTGTGCCTCCGTTCTTTGAACCAGAGATGATGCGTTAGGCCTGCGTTCGGAGGCGGATTTAGAATTTAAATTTTATGGATTAGATGTAGTATTCTATAACAATTAATTTAATGTATTGGGTTTGAAATTAATTATTTATATTTATTTAATAATTTTTTTAACACATATATAGACAATCACATGTGGTCTCCGTGTGAATATGCCACGGGTTCGATCCATGGAATCTCAGGATAAGCTACCTACATTACACTCCCCTGGATTACCCATTTTTCTACGGAATACTTCGTACACCAAACTGCCCTTAAACAAAACCAGAAGACAGGGAAAGGATGAACAGAAAGTTAAGATTGACCAAAGACTATATTACTTACATGAGTAAAACATATATCAATTTATTCCTGAAGTAATGTCTAGAATTTATCAAATTATTCGACCTAAAATCATATGCATTTTTAAGTCATAATTATACAATAATCACCTTAGTCTTTTAACTTAGTTATATATAAATCAGGTATACCATCAAAGGATGTAGTGCAGTGGATGAGACTATTTCTCCCTTAACCAGAGGTCTCGGGTTCGAGCCTTGAGTATGGAAAATTCCTTGGTAGGGAGCGTTTCCCTCCGAATGGGGTCCTACACGGCGCGAATCCGGATATAGCCGGGCTCCAATGCGAGTACCGAACACCGGATGAGAAACCAAAAAAAATATGAATCGGGTGTAGTTAAATTTTTGACCATGCAAGATAATAGCGTAGACCACTACACAATGTGCAATTTATAATAGCAATTGGTGAATATGACTTGGTGAATGCAACTTATAAATTGTGTTTCTTGAATGCGACTTATAAATTGTAATTGTTCAATGCGACTTGTTTTTGTTCTCCGTCTACTCACTGTACTCTTTTTCCGTTTATGTTTAAACTTAAGTTGCATTATTCGTTATGAAGTTATACTAAAGCACTGAAAGTACACTTCTTTTCAATGTTACTCCAATTTACTTAATTTTTTTTCGGTAATTAATTAAAATTTATTACATATACTTAATTTTGGATGCTGATATGGAGGACACAAAGGCAATGTTGTAATTAGCGAGCGAAGCCATGCATTAATTTTACTTAATTAATAGCTTCAGTTGAATATTCAGATGCGGCAGAGGTAAATATTGTGATGAGATAGANATATATATATATATAAATTTGAAATACAGTTTTGTCTTAATTTTACTTATGTGACTATATTTCAACCAACAACAACAATAATAAACCTTTTGGGGTTGCCCAGTTGGTTTAGAGGGTGGTAATATGTGATGACCCAAAAGGTCATCTTATGATTTAAAACTAAATTCTACGTTTCGATGTCTTAAAAACCTCATTTTAGTCCTCCTCGATTTGCATGCGAAGTTCGGCATGTTTCCGGAAAGCTTTTATGTTAATAGTTGATGAAAATAATAATTTTTTTATCACGCCCAACTATGCCTTATAAAAAGGACTAAGCAGTCGTTGTACGGTTTACAAGTCCGGATCGAATCCCACAGAGAACTAAGGTTTAGCTACAACTGTTCACTATCACTAAGAAGTCAAGCTTGAACAATTCCTAACTTATAGATATTTAGATTTTTGTGTTTAACTAATTAACTAACAAATTCAAATTGTAAATTAACAACTAAAGATACTAAGGGTTAGAGACAAGATTAAGGAGGTCTAGAGTTATGATTTCCCCAATTGTCGGAATCCTTCCCGCTGTGTCTTCTATAATTTCGCCTAAGTATTTTCTACTGATCATGAGCGCTCTGTGTGTTGTAATTCTCTCCCGAGTAATTACGACAATTTACTAGACATACTCTCCCGAGTTACGCTAGCTGACTTTAATTACAGCTCACTTAGATCGCACACAAGGTTTCGTTATCCCTAATCTCACCTTTAAACCCTTGGTTATTGATTCCTCACGTACGTCGAGAGTGATGTTGTTCAACAACTACCTAAATATGCACTCTCTCCCGAGTAATACATACTAAATAGGCACAACTAATTGAGGGCCCTTCAATCAACCACAAGAATAATATAGTTGAACAAATAGAGAAAATACTACGACTCAATTATATAAAAACATAACAAGAATTTATCCTACAAAAGGTTCCATCAAAACCCTAGAAAACAAATTAGTTATTCATAATAGTATGTAAAACTACAATACTAAAAGTCATAACCAACAATGAAAGATAGGAAGAGGAAGGAAAAACTCGTAGAAGAATTCCTAGCCTTGCTCCTATTGTGTTTATGCCTCCTTAGGTCTAAAATATGTCAAAAGTATGTCCAACTCCCTCAAAATAACGCTTTTACATGTATTTATACCAAGTAGGGTCGGGCCCAGACGAAATAACTTCTCGCGTGCGAAATAGGACACTCACTCTGTAAAATTTGCACTACCGCGCCGCATGGGGCGACGCACCATGTGGGGCGGCAGTGGGAAAGTTCAGATTGCTGATTTTGACATGCTGCAGGAATTTTCCACAGGCGCGGGGCACTTCACGCAGCACCATATGCCGCGGTAGTGGAAATTCGCGAAAATGTAAAACATGAAAGTTGTAGCCCTTTTAAATAGCTTTCTAACGATATATTGTGGAGCCCAAACGGAGTTCTGAGCAAAACGTTATGTGCATTTTACTAGTCAATGCACCGTATGCCCGCTCGATTCTTCGTTCGTTCTAACTATCATCTGTTGATCCCCAAACACGATCCCGACTTAATTCCTTAGGCTTTTACTTAGACTTCAAAGCTCCAAATCACTTGAATTCATTCCATAACATCTACATAACTCGGAATCACTCCTTCAAGGCATAAAATACATAAGTAGTGCAAAATACTAGCGATTAAAGCTCAAACTCAATTAAAGTGTAGTAAATTAGATTGTAATAAGCGATTAAAATACGAAATTATAGCCTATCATCATTTTTACCTTTAAAAGTTGATTTAGTTGACTTCGGTCAATGTTTTGGGTAAACGGACCCGGACTCGTATTTTGACAGTCCCAGTGGGTCCGTATCGAAATATGGGACGTGGGCGTATGCCCAAAATTAGATTCGGAGGTCCCTAGCCCGAATAATGAATTTTTGTTGAAAATTGTAAGTTATAAAATTTAATGGGTTTTAAGGAGTTGTTAATGTTTGATCTTGTTGGTATCGGGTCCATATTTTGATTCCGTATCCCGGTACAGGTTTAATATAATATTTAAGTCATGTTTGTGGAATTTGGTGAGAATCGGAGTTGATTTGACGTGATTCGGACATCCGGTTGAGAAAATAGAAATTTCAAAGTGTTCTTGAGAATTTCATTTTATTTGGTGCTAAATTCATTTTATTTGGTGATATTTTGGCGATTTGATCGCGTGAACAAGTTCGTATGATATTTTAAGACTTGTGTGCAGTTTTGGTTTGGAGCCCCGAGAGCTCGGGTGAGTTTCAGATAGGCTACGGAGTTATTTGAACTTAGAGATAATTACTGGTATAACTGATGGTGTTGCAGGCCCCTGATCTCGCAATTACGAGGTCAGGAATTGCAATTGCGACCTCTAAGGGGTTCGCATTTGTGAGTTTCTCATCGCAAATGCGAAGAGAAGCTGGGCCATATAGTTTTCGCAATTACGAAGAATTCTTCGCATTTGCGAAGTAAAGCTGGGAGGGGCAGGGATCGCAAATGCGATGCATTTGCGGAGCTTCAAGATCTCAATTGCGAACTTACCTTCGCAATTGCGAAGGCAATAGAGATATGAAGGACCTCGCATTTGCGATGGTCCCTTCGCATTTGCGAGCTTCGCAATTGCAAAGCTCAGGTCGCAAATCCAATATCTGCAGCTGTGTAAAAGGGACTTAGACATGATTTTTGCTCATTTTTCGAATCTTTCAAAACAAGAAACCCTATAGGCGATTTTCCAAAGACCACTTCTTCCCCAAATCATAGGTAAGTGATTCTTAACTTATTTCTTTCAATCTTTCACTTCATTTTACAAGATTTCAACCTAGAATCTAACATTGTCATGGTGGAATTGGGGAGTTTTGGGTAGAAACTAGGGATTTCAAAATTTGGGGATTTAGACCTCAAATTGAGGTTGGATTCCAAAACCAATTATATATCCAGACTCGGGGATGAATAGGTAATCGGGTTTTGGTCCAAATTTCGGGTTTGGACCAAGCGGGTCCGGGTGCTGACTTTTGTTGACTTTTTTAAAAATTGCCTAAATTGAATTCCTTACTATCGTGGGTAGTTCCTAAGGCTTGAATTGAATTGTTTGATTGGTAATTTGTTAGATTCTATTGGTCCAGAGGCTTGTGTGAAGGGTAAAGCGGTGATTGAGCTTTGAGTTTGGCCGTTGGAGCAAGGTAAGTGTTGTGTCTAACCTTGCCTTGAAGGATTAAGTATTGTTGCCTACTTGCTACGTGTTTGGTTGTTGAGTACAACATATAAGTGAGGTGACAAGTACCTATGCGTTTTCGTCGAGTCATAGCATGCGAGTGAGTCTTATTCGTGTGATCGTTGTATTATTTATTCTTATTGTTCATGCTTAGACTAGTTATTTTTTATGTCGGGCAATTCTTATCATGTTTTATGGAATTGGATATGGATTGAGTATTGAATCCAGGTTAAAGTTGACGTTGTGGAACTAAATGTTGAAATGGGACTTGTTATTAATGATTCTATCTCCCGGTTGTTATTGTTTTGGTGAGGAAGAGTGTAAAGCACGAAGGGTGATGCCGTGCCATTTTATATTCATTATCACGTGAGAAGAGTGAGCACAAAGGGTGATGTCGTACCATTCCATATTCATTATCATTATTTCTTTCATTTATTATAGTGCGGATGAGAGTAAAAGCACGAACGGTGGCACTTGTTTTTGCTATGTTTAATATTTTCATTAGTGCAAAGCATGTTGTTTGCCGTGTTTTTTTACTGCTACCATTCTCATGATCTTGTACTCCCCTCAGAATGTCCTCCCCCTCCCGTTATTATCTGTTTAGCTCCTATTATTTGTTATTATGCTCGTATATTGTTTAATTGCACATGTTTATGTTGTTGCCTTGTCCTAGCCTCGTCACTATTTCGCCAAGGTTAGGCTCGGCACTTACCAGTACATAGGG